AACAACGCCAGCGTATTAAACAAGTTCCAGGTGGAACTAAAGTCTGATTCAACACTTGATTATATTTCACATCATTCATCCACATCTGTAAAGTAACTAAAGGGATTCAATACATGTAGTGGAGGAAATGTACACCATTTACCTCTGAATTGTACTGGGGTAGAAATAAAAAGTAGCAACAAATTGAAATACTCAATAAAAGTACAAGTAACTCAAAATTGTACTTAAGTACAGTACTTGAGTAAATGTACTCAGTTACTTTACAGCAGTGCTCAGCTGCTCCCCTCTCACCTTGTCCTGCTCCGCCTGCAGCAGTCGGGCCTGGTTCTGCTCGCTGGAGGACTTGAGGGAGTCGTTCCTCTGCTCCATGACCAAGTGACTCTGCTCCATGTACCTGCAGTGCACACCAACAGCAGCACACAACACACCCAGCTCACTACACACACACTGACACTCTGCTAGAGCTGCAGTCAGCGTGGGCTGTTGACTGTCAGAGGGACAGTGAAGAGGGCATACTGTTATACCTCTTCAATATTTTGTATTGTCATCTGCATGCCAATCGCCTATCGTTTTTTTTTTAAATAGCAATGTGTGAGATCAGATAATAGCTTACACAAATCTTTAAGTCCATTAAAATGCCATTTTCATTCTTTTCATCGTCCACCAATTTCAACAATGTTTCTAAGAAAATGAGACAATGTATTTGTTTTAAATAAAATAATGTTTTTGGAACCATTATGAACTTAATGAATAAATGAAACACACCACTTAATGCTGCTATCAAACATAAGAGCTCCACGTGACATATTTGACATGTATGGCTGGTGACACAGTGATGTCATGATGTTCTGTCTGTGACTCACCTCTGGTTCTGGTTTATGAGCTCCCCAATCTTACGGTTCTGCTCCTCAATACGAGAGCTTTTATCAAAGACTTCTTTTTTTAAACATTCATTTTCCTAAAAGGCAAAAATAAGCTTTAGGAATACAGTTGGAATTCTGTCCCAGTACACCTATCTATTATTATGATATTAAAAAAGTGGCTCCTAGAACACAAGGCAGCGTTTGTTCAGGCGTGTACCTGGACTATTCTTTGGATGTTGTGCATGATCATGGAGGTTTCCATAGACAAACTAGGAACAGCCACAGAAAGACTTCCATGCCTTTGAAGGTCATCTATCTGTCAAAACCAAAACATCAATACAAATCCAACCAGATGTTCTCCTTTCTATTAAAACGTCTTAAACATATTGTAATTCACAGAGTGTGTACCTTTGAGGCCAGTTGATCCACTTTATCTGCTACTTTTCCGACAGATAATCGGATCTCTGTGTTGTGTTGTCTGGCCTCAGTCATCAAGAAGGAAGTGACATCACTGGAGCCTGATGAGAACAAACCATCACAGAGTTTAATTTTCAAACTTTCACTATTAAAACCAAACACAAGTGTCCTGCAGCTGTGTAGTTATATTGACAAATGAGGCTGTCGCAGCGGTTGATCCTTATTGAATAGAACTCTTACCCATGTATGGAACAGGTTGTGCAGGATACACCTGGCCTACAGGCTGCAGCTGGGATGGAGCCCCAGAGCTCTGTGTGTAAGAGTAAGGCTGGAAAACAACAGAATGCACTGATATTACCACGTCTGTCCGTGATGTACTTACTGATGTCAGTACCATATGTGGAGGAATCCCACCTGAAAGGCATGGCTGCTGCCTGTCAGTCCGGGCTGTGGGGCAGAAGTGCTCATAAAAGGAAGTAAGGCAGAAGGTGGAGCGGTGTGAGGATGTAGTGCAGGAGCAGCAGCTGGAGCAGAGGCAGAGTTCTGCAGTGGAGACGGAGCAGCAGGCTGCTCCCTCACTCTGCTGCCACTGGTGTCCTGGAGACCAACAGTGGCACAAAGTAAGTAGTGACACCAGATTGATATAATCTGATATCATTCTTTAAAGTTAATAATCATTTAAAATGCAGTTGTTGTTGTATTCCCATAAGGATGAAAGATTATCAAGAAACAGATACAAATTAAAGACGAAAGTCAGAGCAGTAGGGGACGAAATATTCTTAGATGAGGTTTGGGTCAACCCCGAAAAGTGCCCCTTTAAGAAAATGAATGAATTTTTTATTTTCTGAAAATAATACTCATGTGATTTGTGTGACTCATTGATGTGATTTTAATAGTTTTTTTGGCAACAATTGAGCTGAAAAACATTCATTGTCGGTCTTGGCCTCCTTATGGGTTTGTGACAATAAGAGAAAATGATAACACTACCAGACATATTCTTTAACCCCCACAGAAGAGCCTGTCCCAGCCTTGTGCCGACCTACCTCCAGCTCAGAATCACTGGACTCGGGCTGGCTGGCCCCCCCCGTCAGAAAGGGCAGCATAGGCTGGCCCATCTTCGCCATGCGAGAGATCAGTTTTGCTTTTGTGGCGTCTGGATTCTGAAGTGTGAAAAAGAAACCTTCCATCAATCAAGCTGCAAAGAAAATGCAATAAACATTGCAAAACATTGTAAATAGGAAGAAGGTCTGTGGGGGGGCTTACTGCCAGCTGTTCACTCAGAGAGTTTGACTTTGCACGAAGTGGTGGCTCCCTGCAATTAAAATAAAAAAAGGTCAAATAAAAATCATCTGAGGCAACAAAATAATTATGGTTAATACTGTTTATTGTTTCCTGTGGCCTAAGACTCACCCTGGTCTGCCTGGACCGGAGGCTGTGGTCTGTGGTGGGGGCTCTAGGGCCACATTCTCCCCACTGGGGGCTGGGGAAGGAACTGGGGAGGGGGCAGCAGAGCCTCTGGTGCTGGCATTGGAACTAACAGACCCATTGTCCTTGGAAAACTTCACCTAAAGTGGAAGAAGGGCAGAAAGATCTTCAGTTCCCACTGGCAACATCACGATCAATAAGAATAAAGTCAAAGACATGTACTAACGCAAGATAAGAACACTCGTGATGTGAGCAAATATCAAATACAAGAGGTGAGTGTAGAAAAGTGTTCAGTGGGTGTTACCCGTCGAAGTTCCACTTCAAAAATCAGAGTGCTGTTAGCGGGGACGCGGTTGGGAACTCCTTTGGCTCCGTAGGCCTGGTCGGGGGGGACCACCACGAGACGACGGCCCGCCTTCTTCAGCCCCACCATCCCCTCCTCCCAGCCCTGCAGATCACACCAGGTCATAACACATACTGTTAGAGATGTAATGAATGGATGCCATAAGATGAACCTTATCCTTCACACTTCATCATTCATTCAGACCTGGACTCACACCTGACATCATGTCCAACTTCCGGCCCATCTCAAATCTCCCCTTTCTGTCAAAAATACTTGAACGTGTTATTGCCTCACAACTAAAGTCCCACCTCAGCTCCAATGACCTCTTTGAGCCATTTCAATCCGGTTTCCGATCAAAACACAGCACAGAAACAGCTCTTCTGAAAATCACAAACGACCTCCTCCT